AATAAGGATCATGATTAAAGGAACGTCCGGAGTCCGGACCCTCTATAAGGAAGGTGCCTTTAGCCAATTGATGGATATCCTCGTAAAATATAAGGCCGACATCACTGCAATCCAGAAAATGCCGTCCATCGAGAAGTCGCGTAAATTTTGTTAGCCAGTTGTGATTGTGTATAGACTATAAACGAATTGCACCGATTCATATCAAGGCTTTATAAAACAACATAAGAAGGACGATGACACTAAAGGGTAATTCCACAAGCGTCCAGAGATGGCATATGAGCGCTGCCCTTGCTACAATTTTGTTTGGAAAATTTGTCATTTTAAATTCTAACAGGCTGAAAATTTTAAAATTGGTCGGTGCAGCCGGGCATACGTCTTATAGTTCATGTCTATTATTCTACTAACGTTTTTTAAAATGAAATGAAATAAATTAAATAAACCAATAAACTGGCAATTTTCAATCAGCGATGTAAAAAAAACCATACAATATTCATTCCTGGTTTTTTTTTCAATAAATATCGGCCATATTGCACCGCGCCGCACACATTCCATGAAAACATGTAGGCTGCGTCGAATTCGCCATTTTGATTTTTGAAAATTTACCATGGAAATAGTTATCAGAAACTCAAAAACCATTATATTGGCTTTTATTTATGGTCAGTGCACTGTACAACAGAGAAAAACGGATTTTCCAGTTTCTATTGCCGTGTTTCATACACAGCGACTTAAACAAATGACTACGTGTTGATTTTTTTAATGTGTTTTCGTAATGTTTTTCGAGCTAATTTTTTTTTATTTTTTTATAAAAGATACCGTCCAGCTTTAACTAAAAAGCTATATGTCATAGTTTCAAACTTTATACAAAATTTAGGAAATTCTACGGTGCAGTTTTATAGCCCATAAAATTTTAGTTTAATGAAGTGCAAGTTTCAACCGGCTAAAAAATACCGTTGGTCTTTAAGATTTTTTTTTTTGGGGACGTATTTTTGCACTTTTTCCTATATAAGTATGAACTTCTCATGAAATAAAATGCGGGAGACCGCTAGCCATAAAATTTGAAAAGATCAACACCAGCTTTGGTAAATTGCACTGTTATAATAAAAAAAAAGCGCAAAAGCAGTCTCCAAAACAAAAAAAATCTAAAAATCACCGCGATTTTTTAGCAGGATGATACTTGCATTTTATTAGAGTAAATTGTAGGCTATAAAACTGCATACCCAAAAATTTTCTAAATATTTATATAAAAAAGTTGAAATTTTGATGAACATTTGCTGAATTCTCCTAAATTTTGTATTTAGTTTGAGACTGTAATTTATATGTTTTTGGTTAAAGCCTGGACGGAAGTTTTATAGAAAAAAAATGAAGCCCGAAAGCCATTACGAATATTAAAAAAAACAATAGGTGGTTATTTGTTTGCTTTTTGGAAAGTGTGTTCCCTACTATTACCATTCTTTCATATAGAATAAATGAAAAGTGACGTTGTTAATGCAAATAGACTGACAAATATTGAGTTTTTCACAATGTGTGCACAATTTTCTTAATTCTTATTTCTTCCCGCAAATATGGGCAATACTACAACAAAATACATAAAAAACACCATAATTTTTTTTGCGAAACTCAGGAAAATTAAATAAACTTGCATAAAAGCTTTCACCTTTCTAATACTTTTTTTCTATTTAACTTTAGTGTAGTAAAGAGCAAGTTTGAAGTTTCTAAAACTCCGGCTGACTTTTGACAATTTTTTTTTTGTGACGGCGCCACACAATTTCCTTCATATTAATTACTTATGCTACACAATTTTATTTATATGGAAGAAAGTGCATGACATAATCAAAATTTTTCTAAACATTCTGAAGTTGAAAAATTTATTTACTCCTCCTGAGTTTTTCACAAAGTGAAGAAATTTTATTTTTATAAAAAATTAGCGTAAGGAAACAAAAGTAAAATAATTTGCATAAATTGTAAAAAGTTCTCTGTACGCAGACTTTTGTGGTACGCTGTATGCATATATACATATGTATATTAGGGCGTGTCAATTTGTATGTGAGATTTTTTCGAATATGCGTATATATTTAGCACAGAAAGATTCTCCGTGTAATTCTAAGCAAATTTGCCGAAGAAACCATGGATCTAAAATCTATTTGGAGTTTGCCAAATTTCGAAAAAAGGTGTCTTAGCATTTTGCTGTAGTGATGTAAATAAGTGCCTAATAAAAAAAAAATGCTACAAGGGACTTTTTGGTATGAGGAATCCATTTCTGCACGAATATTTTTCCTAAAACTTCCACCAGAGGGTGCAACAATGAAAAGTTTCACATTTTCTTTGAAACCTATTTTCGCAATTTGGCAAACTCCAAATTTATTTTAGACCCAAGGTTTTTAGGCAAATTTGTTTGGAGTTACATGAAGATTCCTCCTATGCTATGTGCGCTTAGTAAAAAAATTGACCCGCCTTAATGTAGATATATATTGAAAGAAATGCAAATCCAAACTCGGAAGCAAATGCACAGGATCTAGCTATGTAGGTATATCTATGCGTCCAAGTGTATACCTATGTGTACAAGTACATACTACGTATGTACATATGTATGTAAGTTTGTGCATTGGAAAACACAATTGAGGGATCTATGGAGCCACATAACAGCGATAAATATTGAAGCAGTGTCAAGTGTAGCGGAGAAGTCGAGTAGTTTTGCAATGCATTTTGCTTTCCGTTTTTATGTAATTGCTTTGTGTTTGGAAACAGGAAAAGTTCGACAAATGGAGGGGAAAAACTAGTACAAAGAGCAGTTGCACGAATGAGTAGGCTGAAAAGCATAAAAAGCGTCTGTTTGAAAAGACCAGAGAAAAACTCCATTTTAACCATAGCCGAACTTTGCTATCGCCTCAGCATAAGCACGATGCGGCTGGCGTATGTATGTAGATGACATTGACGTCTTTGCGCTTAAAGGCTGAGTTATTCACACTGTAATGAGAGATTGTTATTACAAGTTGTAACTTTATTCTCAATTGGAATGTTCCAATAAAAATTATGTACATCTATTGAATTCCACCAACGTTTAAAGCGATTCCACGATTTCCCGTCAGAAATTCAAGTTTTCAAAACAGATTTAATTTTAATAAAACTACTCTGAAGATGAGTAATTTTTTTACATCGACGAGTGGAATATAGAATAAAATTCCATAGTAATCTTCAACACTCCCAGTATCGACGTTGCATTCATTATTTTAGCGTTTGTTGATACATACGCGGTTTCTTGATATCGATGTTACATTCTGTTAATACTGCGCTCACATTTTCGAAAATTTCATGAAAAAGACTTGCTGTATTTTTCCACATCTCCTGAGATTCCTACATAGCATCTTCCGCAAATTTAAGGGCCTCGAAAAATGTTTGTGTTTCTGATCGTACTTACTTGTTGAAATTTTTAGACATTTAAGATTCAAAACCAGAATTAGCAGCCCGGAACTGGGATGTTGTGTTTTGTTTTTCTACATTGCTATCTATTCAAGAGCTTCGAATATTTCTGGTTGAACTTCAATGTACGTTGATTCGTGACATTGAGCCCATCTTGTTAATTTTTTTATCATCGATTTACTCTTTGAAAAAAATAAAATAAAAATCGTGTAACGCTGGAATAGTCCCCAACTCATTATCGATGCCAGTGAGGAGCACAGTGCACATAAATGGCAAGAGGAAAATCCACACACAGAAAAAAGTCAGCTAAATAAATTTCTCTCAACACATTATTTGGTAACTATAACCAAATAATGTAATTATAACTAAATCATGTGTTGAAGAAAACATATTTAGGGCCGTTTTCTCATCTAACCTTTAGTTTACCGGTCACTTTATCGTCGCGATATACGAGTTTTCGTTTTCTCATCAGCGCATTAATTTCTCGAATCGATAAACTGTTGCTCACCCGATGCAACCTTTAAAATTTGTACCCAACTTTAAATTTTGGTTTGGTTTTGGTTTATGAGTCAGATATATTAGATATTTCAACCAAGGTTTTGGTTTTTGCTAGCAGTTGCTCTCGCTCTATATTTGCTTATGTTGCATTGCCAACCTTTGAAATTTTATGACGAGTGTAGTGAAGTTTCACTCTCGGAAATGTAGTGAAGTTTCACTCTACGGAATAAAAATTTATTTTTACAGGTAAGATAAGACAACGAAAACACTTTAAAGTGAGGAACAATTTATCTGCCCTGTTAGTGAAGGCAACTTTACTGCTTACATTAGAAAACGGCCCTTAGTTGACGTAACTAAACTCTTTTCTCAGTGCAGTAGCAAGTCCGCTTGCGCTGCGTAGAGCCTAGTACTTACTAATCGCCATAAAGTTACGAATAATCTATACCTACTTCCGAAAGATTCTTCTTGATATTTAGTTCGGCACAACTATCTTAAAATCGAATGGGTGATAAAATGAAACGTCCAAAACTCTCCTTAGTAAAATCCCAATTGAGCCACTGGTGTCATTGCATTTAGCGCATATGAGGTTTGCGCGCCAAGCGATGATGTATTTAAGTATGAAAAAGTGGGTTTTTATGCTAATATAAATTAAATTTACTTGCATTTAAGCTCAGAATGACCTACGCCCATTAATTAACATTTTTAGTGAATAGACTAAGAATATTTATTGTACAATGTATGTATCGCAAAGCTAAAGTTCTCACATTTTTCCGCTACCTCACAGAGAAATGTCAATGATTAAAAGTTTTTACCTTCGTTAGTCCCCACTTGCCGCGTAGAAACTTTTAATAATGCAAAGTTATTTTTGCGATTCTTTTTTTTTCATACTTCAATATTTATAATTCCTTGGCATTTTTACACAGTTCATTAAACGTAAAATACACACACTTCTAGTTTTCTAAACGAAGCAGAATCAGATGGCTAGGAATGAGCGAAAGAGATAAGGTTGGTAAGTACATAAGTGGTTCCGGCAAATAGTTGGAGTGTTGACTGAAGGGAAATTAAAAATCGCAAAAAGTACTTACTTGAGAGAGTGTAAACGTAGAAGCGGCGGGGAAACGTCTTTGGTAAAGGAGCAACTTTGCGCTGAGCGCAATACTTTTAGTATTTAGTATTTAGTTGGCAAAAGTAAGAGTGCAGGAGGTTGCGTATGCGAAGTGGTGGCAGAAGAGTCTGAGAAGACACAGGCAAAGTCGACTGCTGTCGTAGCGCAAAACTGCGAACTTATTTAGCAAAGCGGAGCAATTACATTCCTCGCAATCAGCGATTTTATTGCCAACTGTTTGAAAATTAGTACGTATTTTCCAGGTGAATAAACGTTGATTGGTGTGTGATAAATGAAGTTTTTGTTAACTGCAAAGAAAATGAAAAAAATAAATAAAATTGAAATCTGAGTAAGTTTAGGTGATTTTAGTTTTTTAAATGTTTTAGAATATTTCTTTTTTCTAGCTGCTTATGTATACAGTGAAACCTCTCCTAACGGACACCTCTATTAGACGGACACCTCCCTTGGGCGGACATTTTTCCCTATACCAAGTTTTAAGTATAAATTTCGGAACAAATTACTCTCTCTTAAGCGGACACTCTCTTGGCCGGACGCGGACAGTTATTTTGCATAAAATTGACACAAAAACTCTATTGGGCGGACGCGAACCTCTTATCAACGGACATTAAGATTTCTTTTCATAACAAATCAAACAAAAACCTCCGTTGAGCGGACGCGAACTCCTCATAGGCGGACTAGTAAATGGAAAAAGGGGACTTCCCGCACAAAATGTGATTGTTATGCACACATTTAGTTTGGTTTGCGCAGTGGTTTAGGTTCGTTATTTGAATTGTCAGAAACCCTTGGAGACTGATAAAAACATGAAAACTGTTGATGAAAAAGGTACTGACACTGAAAAAAATTAAAAAATAAAACTTACGTCAATCGACAATTTCCCAGTTTTTTATGTAATGAATCTATGATTTTATGTAGTTTATGGACTAAAATGTAATATTTATTTTTATTTTGTTATTACTGAATATGTACTTACGCACATAAATGAAATGTGCACTTTTGAAAAAATACATGCACATTTTTGTTTGAACGATGTAATATCAATATCTTTTATTCAAATAAGAAATAGTGACTATTCAATTAATTAAAACATTAAAAAGTTCTCAAATAGGCTTCCCCTCCATTAAGCGGACACCTCTCTTGGGCGGACAAAAAATGACTGACGGTGAGTGTCCGCCCAAGGGAGGTTTCACTGTATATATATATATATGTATGTTCAGGTAAGTATTTGAAGGAGCCAAAGCGTCTTTCCTGTTAAGAGTTGGTATAAAATGTTTTTAATTGGTACTTTTTAACGTGCTATTTAGTTTTATTTTTTTTTTTAATTAAGATGATTGTTATGATGGTATCGCCATACTCCGCCCAAACAATCTGAAATTGGATTAATGATATATTTTTATTTAAGGAAGAGAAATGCGAAATTTTGTAAATGTTGATCCATTGTCTCACTTACTACACTTGTGAGCTGCAAAAATTAATGTGACAAGTTTTGATAAAATTTTATTTATTTTTCCTGACTAAAAATCTGAATATTGTGCAGATAACGTGTGGAAACATTTAATTGTTTTTTATATATGGTATTTGCATAGTAAAATCGTTCAAATTATTTGACATTTTTCTGCTAAGTATTTATTTTACTTCATATTTTGTGTTATGGAGTAGAAATTTATTCCACAAAGTTGTCAATGTATACTGCTTTCAGAATCGGGGATTCCAAAAATTTGAAGATAAGTAATGCATCAGAGTCGATTCTTAATTCATTTACAAGAGAGGTGTTGAGAGACATCCTACCTGTATTACCTAATCCGCAGAACTGTTAAGAATATAGTACATAATATTCATTATCTTGACCATGTCTGAGCGACGTCGAAAATTAGTGAAAATGAATTACTGATACGCTTGAAATTCAGTACGCTTAATTTTCGTTCGATACTTGAATCATATTTCCGCTTCTTTTTTTTAATATCACGCACATATAAAATTTTGATTAAAAGCCAATAATTTTCCGCTAAAATAGATGATATGTAGATAAAGGCCCAAGTTTAATCTTCGCATGAGCTTGCCACAAATGACGAGTCCTACGCAGCGGAACAGCGACTACCGAAGCAATGCGCAAAGTACTTTTCACCTTGTCAAGCGGATTGAAAATGTCTGCATTTCAGAGGAGACTTAAAAAAAAAAACAACAATAACAATAACAATCAAAGCTTGGCTATAAACCGACATTCAACGCAGCAACCACCACCAATTCCGACATCAATATTGACAACAACAAAAGCACCAACAACAATATCGACTGTGCAGCCTGTTCCATCCACCAGTACTTCCGTTCGAGTGTTCAAAATCCAGCGACATGCAACGCCAAAATCAAAAACGAAATTTCGGCAGGATTTTCTTTCGAATACCGCATAGAACAGCACTCAGTGAATTGCTATGACTATGTGCAAGGGTCAACAAATTGCCTAAAGCTAAAGCAACCCTTAAAAGGCTGAACCCTGTAGAAAAATGCACTAGTACCGAACTAGCTTGCTTCCAGTCACTAAAGTGCTTCTTCGTAGTAAGTTATACATGTAAGCAGAATCGCGTCTGCATTCCTCTCTATGAGGGTTACACTGGCACCAGTTATTTAACTAAAATGCTCATTGTGTAGTTCGCATTTTGACTGCAAGGACACTGCTGACATGCACAGCGTGTCAAAAAGAACTCGGCAAGATAATGAGTAAATATACGCACGTAGCTTTTACACGCAAAGGGTACTGCTGTTGGCACGAGTCGTTCGAAAGGGCTGCATGTTTTGCCAAGCATAGCAACAGGGCGGTGGAGGTTTCGAAAGGGATTTGTTGTCCATACTCGTACAGATATGTAAGTGTGCTTAGCACGAGCCATGGAGTGCTGCATTTTATATTCGCATGTGTACCTTGATACTGCAAATTGGGTGGTGTCGATTTTCGTGTTGCATTGCAGTTTCGAAAGATGAATAAGAGACTGGTATCGGGGAAGCAAAATATATCGCGCATTTGGATTGAAACGCAACCGAAGTGCATCACACACGTCAGAATAGATTCAAAATTAAAATATACAGTGACTCAAACAAGTGTTCACGTGTTGATTTTTTTAAATTTTCAAAATACTTTCAAGCTACCGTTTTTTTTTTATTTTTCTCTCAAAATATTATCCAAGCCTTTGCGGAAATCAAAGTTTCAAACTTCATATAAAATTTAGACAAACTCAACAAATTTTCAATAGAATTTTGAGCTTTTTAATCTGAATTTTTAGAACATTTTTGTATATGCAGTTTTATAGCGCATACAATTTAAGTTGAATGAAAAAATATTATAAATTAACGCGATTTTTAGACGCTTGAAACTTGCACTTAATTAGACTAAATTGTATGCGCTATATGTAAAACTGCATATCCAAAAATGTTCTAAAGATTCAGATTAAAAAGCTAGAAATTTTAATGAAAATTTATTGAACTTATCTAAATTTTATATGAAGTTTGACTCCTTGATTTATATGGTCCAAGCTTTAGACAGTATTTTTATAGAAGTCAACAAAAAAAAAGTATATAAAGTAAATAACTGGAAAACATTGTGAATATTAAAAAAAAAAATTAACACACACTTGTTTGAGTCACTGTATATATATATACATATATGTATGTATATACATGCGGGTGGCCCTTAAATGCAAGGGTCAAAGGTCAGATTCCCTATGAAGGCGTCTTAATAGACTACAATCGGGACCAAAATTTATATGTGATATCCTTGACTTTAGCAGTATCGATTTTGAGTATTAAATGAAATTTCTATTTTTAATTTTTTTTAGTTCATAGAGGTATCTGGCCTTTGACCCCTTTACGATACGCCTTAGGCGACTCCAATTGGGACCAAAATTTATATGTGGTATCTGTGGACAAGGTATTACCGATCGTTGATTTTTTAAGGACTACCCTAATATACATATATGAAATTTTCGCAAATGACAGGCGTTTCCAATGCTCCGACAATGAAAATAATAAACAAGAGGGGGAGAAACAATTAATCCACGATTGCGGATGAATTGGAAATATAAATTATAGATCACAGCACACAATATGTCTTTCCATTAAAGTCTGGAGTCGAAACGTTTGTATGTACATATGTTGATAAAATGGTTACTCTTTCTCTTGATTTCAAATTTACAACATACAATATTTCTCATCAATCACACATGGAAAAATAAAATACTTGTCGGAAATTTCGTAGTCGACTACTAAAATAGCTATTGGCCCACTTATTTATTATGGCTCAATTTTAACTGGTTTCAAATTCTTGTTGAAAAAAAAAACAATTATATTGCCATTATGTGTCGTCGTGTTTCGTTTATTGAAAGCGCCCTTGAATAAAATAAAACGTAGATTACACAGATTTACAAAAAAACGTATCGACATATTGAACCAAACCTCTATATCCATATGTACGTCGACGCGCTGAATGCGAATCCGAAGTCTGTTAGCCTCCATCACATCAGGTTCGAGGTCATTTGAAGGTCTAGTAGGGAAAAAATCCGTAGGGATAGGGGAACAAAGCCTCTATTGTTCAATATGCAGAAACCTTTTTTTTCTAAATCTGTGCTATTGTTAAAGTTTTAAAATTCTTTATTTTCTACTTTTTAGTTCATTTGCGTTCATCATAGGGATATTTCAATATTCAGAGAAACTCTTTTCTATTATTTAAATTAAATTATTCCATTCAGTTTAATTTAGCATATTATCGAAAATGTTTGAAATCAGGGAACACATCCTTGCTTATCCGGGAAAGCAAAAAAAACCGATATTTAGTATGTCACCGGGTATATAAAGTTCGGTTTCTCCAAAAAATGTTTATTTTGAAGCAAAAATTAATTGGATATCATTTTCCATACTTTTACGTATCCGTACAAATGCAGTACCAGCAAAACGTACATACATACATACATACGTGTATTCGATAGTTTGTTAGAGCGAATGGAAAATCAAGGAATTGCTTATCTCGACATGCGTTTGTTACACGATTGCCACAGTTTGTACATATGTGTGTATTGATGCTCAAATGGGCAGTGAATGGGCAGGCATTGTGTTGTGGCTTTCTACGTGCCTTTGTGTGTGGTATACATCTACTGTCATTGTTGGGGCTGTGGTGAGCTGTTGCATGTTGCTTTTCCAGCGTATTCCATGTTTGTTCTGTTATTGTTCGTATTTGACGGCTTTTTGCTTTACCAATGTTGTTATTGTGATTCATTTGCTGTCGTTACAGTAAACTCATTTTCATTTT